ATTGAATTATGTTGTTCTTATCTTCGGTTATGGTTTTTATGCCTTTAGTAAATCTGTATGCAATATTTTAGACATTATCAACAATTTTAAAGGTGTTTAAGTGCCGCTAAGCCTAATAATTTTTTTGATGGTGGCCATTGCTTGTTTATATTTGAAACAACAGGATAGTGGATTTGTTGCCAATCTAGAGAAATTTAGCTTCGTAACAACAAAGATAACGCCTTCATTCATTATTGCGAATTAAATCATGCTTAATCCTTTCTGGAATTTTTTCGAGGAAATAAGTGTTTAAGATTTACTTCATTTTTAATACAGATATTTTGAGTTTTTATGTAATTTTGGCTTGTCACGAAGTGAGAACTGAATGAATTGAATGAGAAATACTCAATCGTCTGTGAAAAACTGTTTCTTTTGCTTGCTTAATTTCTTTTATACAACGTTCTAACTTTATTATAGTATTTGAATGGAACATGTGGCAACGATTAGATAATTCTTTAAATGATATAAATTTTGTGCATTCTGAGTTATAGTATGAACGAAATATAATAATGTTAAGTGAATGTAGCGCCAGAATGCGTATAATTTAATATTCCGTACAAGGAAGTCATGTGGTGTACACATCAGATTTTTTTAAAATTAAAATTGCGTCTCTTTTTAATGACTGACATTTTCTGCAAGTTTCTCAGAGTTCTAATAATTCTCGTGGTACTTCTTTTACTAACTCTCAGCTGTGTCATTATTACTTTTAATTGAACGTTAATTAACTTTTATAAATCTAATGGTCTATAGGTTAAGATTTTCTATTGCGTTACGTAAATGGGGCATATTCATTATCCCTAATTCAAAAAATCTTAACTTCACATAAATGCATTTTAGTAGCTGTTGGGGGTAGAAGAAAGAGCATCCGTTATGAAATTAGTGTCCGTCTGTCTCTTGGAATAATTTCATTATGCACTTCTCTTCAGTAAATATGGTCTTTCTAAGTGGTAGTAGGACTTAGACCCTAGCTATGGCAACAGTCTCCTGTTTGTTTTGTTTACAACACCGAAATTCTTGCCCGGCAGGAATGTTAACGCCACCCCCATCGCATAACACCAGGGAACGAATGCAGTCATGCACAGGGTCGCAGAACCATGAGAGTGGGTGCGCTTTTGGCATAACTCGATTAATTCCTCGGCGTTCTTAATCGCATTTCTGCCCCGTTAAGATGCATACTATGCAATTAGTGGAGTGCCGGAGGTGTTGACCTGCCTCCGGATGGACGGACTTTTTCCAAAGTGCGCGCCTAATTTTGTTAATTGCCATTAAGCGTTGTTTAGGCCCACCCTTGTGCTTAGAGCTTTCCACCCCATTCCATGTTCGCTCCATATCTTGTTTAGTCATTCTCAGCAGACGGAGGTTTCTGAGGATGTTATCTTTATACCTCCGCTCTCTTTTTGAAGATGACGTTTTGCGTCCGTGCTGGAATTGGGTGCAAGCCAAGCGTGCAGCGCGAACGTAATTTTCGTGTAAAAGTGGCAATTTTCTTCAATTGAATGAAGAAGATGTCCCGGCGAAATTTGTCTTATCTTGGGTAAAATGACTTTTACAGTACAGAGCGGAGTATCCAACAAGTTAAAATGCATTATGACTACCTTTTAAGCGTGTTCTGCAGGACAATGACGTGCTTGCGAATTTACCAGGAAGAGTTTTTTTTATCATTCTATTTTAAGCTCTTCTGTAGAAGGCCGGTAAATGTATGCGAAGCGTTTTAGGCTATCGTTGCTATGAAATATTGCTCTAGTAAAACATAAGAGACATCAGACTGAAATTTAGCATTGTGGTAGTCGATGCCTATATTAAGCGTTAAAAGTGAAATTTACTCTTGCCCTTCAAAAACATTCCTGTTTCAGCTATTAAGAAATTTCAGATATTGAAAGGTACATTACAGGTACATGCGACTCACGACGCTCCTCCACTTACGACGAGTGCCCTTCCAGCAGTCCCATCATAAGACGTAAGATTAACTTTAATCTTGATACCTTTTATAGTATGTGATTTTATTTAACATAAAATAGGTTTAATAATCCATAAACGTACGCAACATTTATAGAAGATTTATTATTTGCATCTGTTACGGTGAAACACCGAAATCTGGAGAATGTCGACATTTACCGGTGAATGTCAGCATTCACATAGTCGCTTGGTGTATGGCCGAAATATTTTCCAAATACTCTTATTTCTGACTTACACCGGTAAATGTCGACATTCACCATGTACTAATGGTGAATGTTGAACATATAAGAATATTATATTTTCTTCTCCGTAATTCAGTAGCGAAAAAACGCACTTGAGACTTAAAATAAGAACTTAAAACACACAGTACATTCAAAATGAGAAAGGAAAATAATAAAAGTTAAAAACTTATTAAATTATGTGATTCAAATCTTATTTATTGCAACAACTTAAACTATTATGACACTTTGCATCTGTTACGGTGAAACTATTATGACAACTATTATGGCACAAGAGGCCCTTGCTTTTACAACTGCATTTATTTGTGGAACACTGCCTTTTGCAATGTCAGCGTTTGCATTAACTATTGTATTGAACAATATGGCTTATTGATCTTATATTGAATTATCTATCTTGTCTTGCATCTCGTACAGAATCATTAGTATCGTTTTACCTTGTATTGGTATATATCTGTATATGTGTATGTATGTATATATGTGTGTATGTGTGTGTGTGTATATATATATATATATATATATGTTATATATATGTATATATAGTTGTATAATGTATCCTCTTTACCTTGTATTGGTATTTATATAGTTGCATAATGTATTTATGTATTGTATCCTTGCTTTGTACACTAACTATTGTATTGAACTTACCATCAGTATTAAGATCATTACATCATCGATATCATACTATCAGCATTATTATCAGCCTAGTATATAGCAGCAGTAGCAGTTTTGTAATATTTAGCATTGTATCAGTTTGTAGTACTGTTTGTAAGTATTCTAGTAGTAGTTTTGTAGTATTGTAGTATGTAGCAGTAGTAGTTTTTGTAATGGTGTTTACTCCTTTGGTTTTCTATTGTTATCGCTATCTGTATGTGTTTTGTTCTAATTATGTCTATGTGATTATAGTATTTATTCAAAACTGGCACTTGCACCTTTGTAATCTTATGCTTTGTCAAAACTTCAAATGTACCCTTTATTTATCTATTTATTTATTTATTTTTTTTGAGCCCTTGTCTGGCCATGTATTTGTTGAACTTTGACTCAATAAATACTAGGCCCCGGCGGTTGGTGTGAACATGCTTTTGGGGGCTTCTTTGGTCTTTTGGACTGCCACCTGGATGGCCTGGTCGCTGGGTTTCGGTGTTTGGTGCGAGGCGCCTGTGTGGCCCATCTGGCTCAAGATAGAGGTGGACGTGTTGCACATGCCAATTAACCATTACGGTAAAGGGATGGTGCACACGTCCCCCGTCAACTATCAACTACCAGAGCATATCTGTGATTGTCGACATACACCGGTGAAGGTCCGAATGTAATGCAATATTCGATCTTTCACCGACGTATTTGGGTGAATGTTGACATTCTCCGGTGAAAGTCGACATTCTCCAATTTCGGTCTTTCACGGTAACACATCCATATAAATACGCACATATTTTTTTAAAGCATATGTGTATGTTTTTTATGAAATTAACACATCTGTACTTTAAAATTATTAAATGTAAGCAAAAACATATAAATGATGTCGTTAATTTAAAATAATTGCTGATCATTTGGATGATTCCTCGCATGTGCAAACAAAGCGTGCAGTATGTTGGTTCTAAACTTAAATTAGAGGATTTTGCATCTTTGTTTTCGGCCGTCATAAAAGCGGGTCGTCATATGTGAAAGACATGATTAAAACGTTAATACTGGAATAGATAAGCTGTTCTTTTAAGACTTGTTATGTTTATTATAATAGGTTTTCGATTAAAAATTGTCCCTGTCCTTGTGGCATGAGTAATGTCGATCTTGAGCACCTGTTATTTAGATGTTCTTCTGTGAAAAATATTGCTCTAAAGTTTATTCCAGATATTGCTAAATTTAATACTCTGAATCATCTATATAAAAGTACAGTGACTAATTTGGAATTGTCGAATTTCATAAAATATGTATCTGTATATGAAACGAATTTATATATTGTTTGTGTTTAAAAAATTCTCGGTCTTTTTTAAGAAAAATTAGGGTGTTTATGATATTCCGTTAGTGACATATTTTTATGCATGTAAGTAACATGTGTTATATTTTACTTTACAAAGTATGTAATAATGTTTATTTGTTGGTGTAGCTGGTAAATCCCACCAGCTTCTAGATTTTAAGTTCATATTTTAGTTGTTAATTCTATTTACAGTTATTTCATATAGCATGGTGGTGGTTGTTTTGCTGCTTACTGGGCCTGATTTAGGCCTTGTTTTAGATTTCAACGTTTCTTTATTTAAATAGCACCACTAAGCCCTGTTAGCCTCTAATGGCGGTATAGGAAGTTCAATCAGTCATAAGATTTTTTATGTGATGCACATTTTGCCAGATACCCACTAACTGATTTGCATCGTGTTTTAATAATGTATTTCGCCCTAAAATTAAATAGCAAAACTAATTTTAATTCCGGAAAACATCTTGTGGACCCCTAGCCAGTAATTCTCGGATTTTTAGGGATTTGCGGATCACGGCTTAAGAATAATTCACATAGTAGATTGTTCATTATCTTCCTAGAGAACATGTAGGCATTGGTGCTAGAAAATTCTGCGTTCAGTTAAACACTGTTTTATGGTTTTATTGTTGTTGTCATTGATATTTAGTTATTCTTTATGCACTATAAATATTATGAAAAATATGTTTATTTTCTCATATATGTTACGCAATTTTAAATATCTATATGCGTATTTATGTATTTGATTACGTCATAATTAGTTTCCTATGTAATTTGCTAACATATTATTTTTGTTTCTCGTCCAGGTAGTGTTTGAAATGTGGCTAAGGAAGAAAAATAGAGACTGAAATAACAATGGACTTCCCCCACCGCCGGACATGGGCCGACGGCCGGCGGAAGGCAGCCCTCCAGAGAAGAACTAGCAGCCGGTGGTGGTGGTGCGTTCTGTGGTCCGTCCTCTGTCTTGCCTGGTCTGGAGCAGTAGCTGACGGTGTGGTGGTGGCATCATATTCCACCCCTAACGACACAATCCAACACATGGCCATAGACCCTATGTCGGGCCGAATCTATGTGGGAGCCACAAACTGGCTCTTCCAATTTGATGCAGGACTTCGTTTGGAGCGCACCGTACAGACTGGACCTGTGGAGGACAATATTCAGTGCTTTCCAGGTGCATGTTCCGAGCAGGATCTCGCACCTTCGGATAATGTCAATAAACTTCTAGTCGTGGATGAGGGGTCACGTAGGCTCCTTGTCTGCGGGAGTGTGTACCAGGGCGCGTGCCGACGCCGCGAGCTGGACGATATAACGCGGGCCGAGGATCTTGTTCCCCTGCCTGTCGCCGCCAACGACGAGACAAGCTCGACGATCGCATTCGTGGGGCCAGCGCGTTATATGGGTTACCCATCGCGCGTTCTTTATGTGGCCACCACGAACAGCAGGCTTGGTCCTTATCGAGATATGGTGCCGGCAATCTGCAGTCGCAGTCTGGAAGACGGTCGTCGACTTTTCGCAGTCATCGAGAAGTCTTTCTCGGCCATCTCGCGAGTGGACATCAGCTCGCAGCTGCGGGACTACTACCTGGTGGACTACATATACGGTTTTCATTCGGGCGACTACGTGTACTTCGCGACACTTCAGAGACGCTCCCATCTCCGCTCCCTTGAAGAATGGGGTTACATATCGCGATTGGCGCGTGTCTGTGTGTCAGATGCAGGTTATAATTCTTACGTGGAGACGACACTGCAGTGCCTGGGTCCTGATGGCCGCGATTATAACTTGCTGCAAGATGCGCATCTTGTGCGTGCAGAGCCGGCTGACTTACTAGTCGGAGTATTCGCAGCCAGCCGGGATCACACGGCTCGCAGCTCTGGACGGTCAGCTGTCTGCGTGTTCTCCCTAGCCGACGTGGAACAACGGTTCACCGAGAACATCCATCTCTGCTATAACGGCAGTGTTCCGTCCCGAGACATGGACTACATTGCAGGAAGTATCCAGGCCTGCCCTGAACCTGGGGTACGTGAAGCCATTCTTTCCGCCTTGATTTCCTCACAGGTATCCCTTTTTGTTTTGTTTTGTTCAATTATTTTGCGTTGACCCTCACAAAACGTCTATCGCCCGGGTCGCCAAGAGTCCTTTGTCTTTTGGGATGCTTGCGCCTGAAGGTCCCCCTATTTTTTACAAGCATATTTTGGACAAACACTCAGCATATTTGTCTTCAAAAAATTGAAATTATAATTCTTTTTCTCTGCTAATTTTTAAAATTACCTTCGACTCAACTCACTTCATCTTTGATACTATCAGCATTCGAAACGAACTCATGTTTCCGAATATTCATTTACTTAATTTAAAAATTTACAGAAATTATTTGAACGTAAACAATTTTTTTTAATTAAATAAAAGTCATTTTATTTATTCGTTATTAATTCTATCGGTAAAAGTCGGTACTATATTTTTAATTATTTACATACCATAATTTCTTCTGTTTGTGCTTGTGCTACACTGTATCTGTCATATAGCTGCAGCATTACTGTGTGCACTTCCATATTTGATAGTTCACATGCTTGCTTATACATTACTGGTGTGAGAGAATGATACATGTAGGCGGCGACCCAGGTTACATGAATTTAAAATTCCTTTTACTGCGGTCTTTAAAGAGAATTATTTTATTTAATCTTTAAAGACCATTAATTAAAATTTTTAGTATACTTCATCCGTATAAAGGTCTGACTAGCATAAACATTTCCGCAGTTTATAAAGCAACTGAACACATTTCATAAGCACAGTTTTATTTATTTTTTTAATTCCGCTCCCTGAATTATTTACCGTTATATTTTTTTATTTTCTTTTGTCCATCTGTATTATTTCTAAACTTATATTTTTCTTCTATTCTATTTCCTCTATATTTTCTACAATGAAATATAATCTAAAATTTATTTGAAAATTATTCTTGACTATTGTTACATTTTTATGTATTATCTTATGTGTAATTAAATTTTTATAATATAATTTTATATATATATACACATATAAAATTAATATAGTAAATAAAAATTTATATATATATATATATTATATATATAATAGTAGTAGGTAGAAACATTGCAGCAATCTTGCTAAAAAGTTACCAGGAGCTGTAACTCCACGAAATATATAACGCCGTATTACAAAAATATAAACTAATAAGAAGAAATTTGTCTGGAAAAACTGGAAAAAAAAACTAAACGCATGAAAAAACAGCCAAAATTAATGCTGGAAGACTTGCTTAATGCATGAAAAAATTAATCTGACCGTTGTGATATGTGAAAAGTTAACTCACATGAAAAATAGATTGACGGAAAAAAATATATAAGGAAAAGTACAGAAAAACATAGATTAAAAAAATTTCATATAAAAAATATAGACTGAAAAAATGCCAATACATAAAAAGTAAAAATTAAAAATTTAAATGAAACACATAAATTGCAACAAAACAAAATACAATAATTACATAGCGGAAAATGGTAAATTAACCCACTCGTACTCTCAATTGGCTTTTCAAGGGAAAAAAACTGATTGTCGAACTAGGTTAAATACCATTACGCGTTTCGCCGAAACAGACCATTGAAGCTCTTGTTTAATGCGAAAAAAATTTTATAAAAGAACATTAGTATTCCCGAATATATCTTTTTTGGAATAAATCCTTTTTGGAGCTTCACTGCTCTGTTCCTTTTTCCCGACGCGTCCGCTGAAATACACATTAGGGTGTTAATATATATATATATGTAAGATAACAATGTACGAATCAGAATTATAATATAACTATAAACATTAATTCTTCCTCTCTATTCTAAAATCGTAATAACTTATCTGCATTGCGTCATTCAAATTAATCATGCGATCTTATGTAACCGTTAATACCAGATGCCTCTTGACGACCAATCACCGAATTGTAAACCAAAACTTTTCTCTTCGCGTGCTTCCATTTTTCATAACTACGCACTTCAGCTTTTGCTCTCTACTGTGCTAAGATGTAATTTCGCTGGCTTGCTTTCTATCCCAACAACATCAAAAATGTAAATCTTCTGTGGAAAGGCACGACTAGAGTGCCAAGTGATTGTGGCCACAAATATCAATTGGAAATAAAAATGGAATTAAAACTGCCTCGACTGCCAAGTTCTTTAAATACTACGCAATCAAAATTCTTCTTCAATATGGGTCTAATCACACATCGACACTGCTCCGGCTTTTCCTTTGCTTTTATTATGACATATATATATATATATATATAATTTATTTACTTACTATTTTAAATTAAAATAAAACAAAGTATGCTAGAAATTTAGGGGAAAAAACAAATTTAAAAAGTTAATACATTACTGTTACATTATTAATGTACATTACTATACATTACTGTTACATTATTAATGTACATTACTATACATTACTATTACATTAACTTGGACTGAGATATTAAAGCAACATGGAAAAAAACAAAAATGCACAAGTGAATACAAAAAGGAAAACGTTGTATTATTGTAAGATTTGGAATTTTTTCAAGAGGAGAAAATATTCCACGAACAATATGGTCATTTTTTGGCAATGTTAGTTATGTTTCTTTCCGTTTGAAATTAGCTGAGGTACTGGCATTAACTATTTTAAATTATTTATATCTTTGAAAAACAGGAACACCTCCCTGCATAACAGTGTACCGAAACAAAAGTAAAAAAATTATAATTCTTCAAAAAACATAAGTACAACGTAGAGGCATTAGATTATTTTGAATCAGGAGATGTGAAAAATGTGCAGTGCCCCTCACCGGGACCTTTCGAATACGCGCCGAGTGTACTACCGTTACACCACGTAGGCATGGCGGAAGGAAGGAGAAAATACCTTATATACTCCCCCTTTCAAAGGGTGACTAGGGATTAGGGGACCCATTCGCCAAATCCTGGAGGTGACGAATTATTGTCCAGCACATTTCAGTTCGAGCGCCATTTGTAAAGTCTTTAGGTTTTTTTGAAGCAGAAGTACATGAAAAATTTTCATGCCCTAGCTGGGACTCGAACCATCGACCTCTTGAATTCGCATCGAAAATTCTTCCGATTACACCACGAAGGCATATGGAAAGAATGGAAAAAATATCTTATAACAAAATTCATATGTTATTCAAAAAATTGCTATACTTCACGCAGAAATTTTATAGATGAAAACTGTAAACAAGTATAAAATGTGGTGTGATATAATACATTTTGGATATTTTTTTCCCAAATTATTTTTCAAACTCAGTTAAAGGTAATGCAGGAGATTCCACTTACTTTTAAACTTGAATTTTTTTCAGCTTTCTAGCTTCGCCTGTTTTAATTAAAAATACTAGTAAATAATTATGTTATTTGTTCTTAGCAGCTACTGCTATATGGGTTTTTAATATTATTATTGTGCTGATAAAATTGCATAATTTTGATTGATAAAAAAAAAGCGAAGTGTGCATCACCACTTTTGCGCAGAGATTTAAGTCGTATTATTTTTTGTCATGAAACAAGCATAACAAAAATCACCAAAACACACAGATCACCAAAAGAGATGACCAATAGCTAAACTCGATAACAGCTCCATCCTTGGAGAAAACATTACACCTGCTTTGCAAATCTCGTCTTCAGGCGGCGAACAAAGTCGTCATATTCCTTTACTTATTTATGAGGACGTAGCGAGTTTTATGAGTCCCTCGTAAAAATGCGACATCCCTCTAATTGGACGTTGAGGATGAAAATCTTTAATTGGGAGACGTTTCTCACATCTGTCCGGCCGTAACGAGACGGTCCTGTTCTCCAGAGCGTCATAACTCACTCACGATGGAAAAAAAGAAAGAAAAAGTAATGGCCCCTCTTTCCTACCAAGCGGCACGAAAACCGCGGAGAAATTGGCAATGTGCTGCTGTCTCTGTTGGCATTTTATCATCTCTCTTCTTCTCTATATCTTTGTGTAACTTTAGAAGCATCGCTGCGTAGGTTTTGTAGTGACACGTTCTCTGTCATGGTGACAGTCACATTCGTCGGCCCGTAACTGAGACCAGAAAATGATCCCGGCTGAAAAAGTATATTTTATTGAGTGAAATGTCAATTGTTTCAGTATCGTAAATTTAACGATTGTTAAGGCTTTGAATGATGGATGCCAATTGTTTACCGGATGAAAGAAATTTTGCCCTTTTTGGTCAGTCATTTGTTTCATGATCATGCTGTGTCAAATCCTGAAGCTGTTGGCCACACTTCGTCGAATTTATTCACCGCAGCATTAAATTGTTTTTAATAAATTAACCCATAAATCGGTCAATCAGAAAAAAAGCAGATTTTTTTTAATGCAGAACGTAACATAACGTGAAGCTAGACCAGCACTTCTGTAGTATCATTGTTGAATGAATTATGGCTGAGCGTAGGTAATGTCCGAAACGACTCCCATTAGAGGACTCACGAGAGCTTAGCCCAGGCGCAGCTTATAATGCAGAATATAATATTTTTCATTACTTTCTGTAAATTCCATTTACAGTAGAAACTTACTTGTGGCTAAACCCACTGGATACTAGTGGTTCGATGGCCCACCAGCGGGGTTATTCGTCCGGGGTTTAATCCCCATCGAACGGGCTTGCTGCATAGGCGTTTTTACGGTTTTCCCCATGTGTGACGTGTATGCAAGCCAGGTTTCCTTAGGATGTCCCCCACGAAGGCATCCCCCCTAGGTAGATAGCCCTCAAATGTACCTTAATGAAATGAACCCAACCAAACTAAACCACTAGTATTTCGACCTGGAATCCCAGCTCGTTCTCCGGGACTTGAATACGGTGTTTTTCGTGGTCCCCCCCCCACGTGTGTCTTCATATAAAGTAATCATATAAAGCTCTAGATCACTATTCAGTATCAAGTAACTGGCAATATTACCAACTCGCAATATTTGCTGTCTGAAAGTTGTTTCTAAAGCTACAAAAATCTGGATATGCTCTTGATTTTGATAATTACCTATAAATTTGCATCTCATCGTTTCTAAAAATATACTCCTCATAAAATTATTTTGCAATATTGCTGTTCAACTGAATTTTGTGGTTTAAGTGCGAAGAACATGATATTTAATAAGTAAAGGTAACCCACAAAACGTTAAAAAAACGCCCCTTTGGGCGTAATGTAAAATCTAAAAGCTTTCAGTTTTTTTTTTTTTTTTTTTTTTTTTTTGGTAATGAAAGTTACTTAAAAAAAACTGTTATAGAATGCGAAAATTATATTTTAAAACGTATCCTAAAAAATTTTTAAAGTAATGAAAGTTACTTAAAAAAAAAAAATTCAAATAAAAAAAAAAACCCACGATAACCAAATCTTAGCTTTCGAGAAGGGAAGTTTAATCTTCAGGCGATATGGTTAGTTTTTGAACACGGTAGAAAAGTTAGTTTTAGACTAACATTTTCTTACGCTCGGTATCATTTAGAGGTCAATACATTAATTACATTCTTTTTGCTTTTGAGAAACTTAATTGTTTGTATTCAGAGGTCAAGTTAGTGACAATTTTAAACTTGTAATGGGTAAGAGACGAAAATAAAAAATGTAGTGAGACATCTGTCGCTTTGCAGAGGACGAAAAATATCGAACAACCATGAAACACTCATTTGCCTTCCGACAGAACAACGGCCCCGGGTGGCGGACAGCTCCCCCAATTTCTCTTGATCGATCCACGATCGGTTTGAAGGATAACCCCAATGGACATCGATCCTTTTGACCAAATTCATACCTGGACTAATCCCGCCATCTAGTGTTCACACGGTGAAACTATTTCGCTTTCCGCGTGTCTGTTTCTTGAAAGCTCGTAAAAATTTTATCTTTTTGGAAGACTGAATAATTTAATATTTTAAAAGAACTTTATTTTAAGCTGTATTTTTGTAATAACCCATAAAGGCAAAACATCGCTTTCATTGCAGTTCGAGGTAGTAAATTAATCTTTATTGCGTGCTTTGAAACACTGCCTTCCTTTTCGCTTTCTGAGTAAATTAATTATGTGCCAAAAGTTTCTCTTCTAATTAATTAAAAAATAAAATTACCTCGGAACTTCTAATTTGATTTTTGTTTTCAAATAGTTTCAAGCGATCTAAATTATTTCCTATTCCATGTATCTACATATCTTTATCCTTTCATAAAACTTAAATTTTTCTAGTACTTTCTGTGCTGATTATTTAATTTATCTTATTAAAATAAAATTCATATTTTTTATGTACACAGTAATAGTAATTTAATATTGACTGGATTAGCAAATTATATCGAATAACATTTATAATTATTTAATTCGTGAGACAGAGAAGGGATTTTTTTCAGTGCAAGAAAACACACAGGGCCATATGTCTGAGTTCCTTTTCAGTTTTGATCGAAAACACCCATGTAAATGGAATCGAAAGGTCTCGTATAATTCTTCCTCTACCAGTAATCTTTTGAGAAATTTTCGGTTCGACCAGTTTTAAGTGCCCTCATTTCACACAAGCACTGTAGTCATAAACGTTCATGCATTTTCCAGGAACTAAACATAAATCATTCGGCATGATTCAGACCAGGTACCTAACGCTATCTACTTGTTCATCACAATTTTGAATTGTATTGAACGAAGTACCTATCTATATTTAATCATCAGCAAAAATTTTATACGAATTCTGAAGATAGAAGATATTAAAAGATAAGCTAATTATGCTGGAATCTAGTTAAAGGAAGGTTTTTCTAATAACATGTTTACTGATGCGTCCATTTTTTGTTTCTTTGACATTAAAATCCATTGTTCGTGATATAACATCTAACAGTACGCCAAAGGTAAATTTTATTTCGCATCGCTATTCTTTACATTTAATTCCATGCATTTACTGTTTGAAGGGAAGTGTAAAATTCTTAATGTATTTTTTACCTGAGTATCATTACCTGAGAAATGACAGCATTTCATAAAGAGAAATAATGTTTTTCAGAGTGAAATAGTGAAACTTTTCCTTTACAATGCGGAGTCATAGGAAAGTTTTTCACCATGTAAAATATATGTCTTTTAGCTTAGTTATTTCAATGAAAAAAAAAAAGAACTAAACAGAATGACACACCTAAATCTTTATTGATAATACTTACTTTGAAAACAATGTTTTAGGAAATAAAGTTACTTTCTGATTATCTCCACCCGCTTCCCGAAAAGTCGCCACCGTTAGCAACTAATTTTTCGCCAAGCTAAGACGAGGAGGTCAACAGCTATTTTAGAAAATGACGGGGCACTAGGAATTATGTGAAACAGCAACCAATTAGCGCAATTAAAAACACAAGAATCTCCCAGAATAAACGCTTGGCTTTTCGAGAAAGCATCAAGATTTGCGAGAATTCAACATCGCGCCCAATTTGGTACTGGGCACACTTTCGCTATCCTCATGTACACAACGATCTGTTTTCAATCAGAAAAAAACATCTAGAGAATTGCATTGCGCATGTTATTGGTCTCTTCATCTGTACAGTGATCTGTTTTTGGTTTAAAAACATCAAAAAATTGAGCAAGTTCTGCATCGGCGTAGTTTTGATCATGAAAGTCTGTCGTTTACGAAGTACAACTGTACAGAATGCAAATTTGTGCATTCTCTACTGTGAAATAAAGGGCTATATTTTTGAAAAAATACAACGCTTTCTTTTTCATAAACCGGCAAACTCTGCAGTCCTGTTACGATTACTTACGTGGGGGGGGGGGAATCACTCAGTGCAACAAAAAGATGAAATCGGCCTTTGCGCACACGCGCATCCCTTGGTTGTCACATAAATATATTTTGGAGACGTCATGGGTTGCCTGTTTTTGGCGACAAAATGCATTGCCTCTTGTCAATGGGTTGCGGATAATCAGGAAGTACCGAAATAAGAGCAGCATATTTAAGGTGCCCAAGAGGCAACAAGATATGCTCATGGCGTTTATTTCGGCAGCTTCACTTGCATCCACATAAATGGGAACTAGAAGCACGAAATTTATGTTTACTTGCCTGTAGGTAGGAAATATGCCTGTAGGTAGAAATATGCCTGTTGGTAGAAATATGCCTGTAGGTAGAAATATGCCTGTACCAAAATAAGAGCAGCATATTTAAGGCGCCCAAGAGGCAACAAGATCTGCTCATGGCGTTTATTTCGGCAGCTCCACTTGCATCCACATAAATGAAAACTAGAAGCACGAGGTTTATGTTTACTTGCCTGTAGGTAGTTGATAGTTGATAGTTGACAGGGGACGTGTGCACCATCCCTTTACCGTAATGGTTAATTGGCATATGCAACACGTCCACCTCTATCTTGAGCCAGATGGGCCACACAGGCGCCCCGCACCATACACCGAAACCCAGCGACCAGGCCATTCGGTGGCAGTCCAAAAGACCAAGAAGCCCCAGGAGCATGTTCACACACCAAAGCCGGGCCTAGTATTTATTGAGTCAAAGTTCAAACAAATACATGGCCAGACAAGGGCTCAAACAAAAAAATAAATAAATAAATAGATAAAAAATAAGGGTACATTTGTAGTTTTGACAAAGCATAAGATTACAAAGGTGCAAGTGCCAGTTTTGAATAAATACTATAATCACATGGCAAGTAGGAAATATGCCTGTAGGTAGGAAATACATAAATGATAACTAGAAGCACGAAGTTTATGTTTACTTGCCTGTAGGTAGGAAGTTGGCGCATTTGGCGCCTGCGGAAAATGCAGTAAATATCCGATATAGCTTGATTGCTGTTCAGGTACGCGCCGTTTCCAAATGGAAGCTTTCTGTAGAATTCCATTGTATATGCATGTTAGATTGTAGTACTGTTATTATTATTAGCAATAACACTGTATAAATGACTTGTGTAAATATTTAAGATTAGTAATGCACAAATTTTTTTTTAGTCCAAACAGCATGCTTTGACGTTCTCTTTGTTTCAGAAGGGCGGTAACATTTTCAACTTCTGCGGAGAATCCCTGAAATTGAATGGTTCTCTACCCATCACCTCTTTTCCTGTCATCACGTACGAGAACGTGACGTTATCCTCCGTGGTGGCCACCACCACCTCACGCCACACCGTTGCCTTTATCGGAACGAGAAGTGGTTTTCTGAAGAAGGTAAGAGCCTTGTTTATTGTCATCTAAGCACAGAAACGAAACAAATGTAATCGTGGTAGAATAGAATAAAAAAGCTTTGTTCTCTGTAAATAGAAGAAAATATGTTTGTAAATATGTTTGTAAATAACTTAGTATGCTAGAAAACGGCCATGTATGTTTCTGAGATTGAAAAGCGAAAATTCCATATACCCAGAAATCGGTGTAATCCGCACTTCTTTTTTTTTTTTTTTTTTTTTTTTGTTTTCCTCTGCTACTGTAGATAAATTTCAAATTCCTAGGTAATGTTAAGGATTATTTTTCTTTGCCAGAGCGGTACAGTCGCAAAGTGATCCATCATCGTTACCCTATCGTGTTTAGTTTCGCATTTTTTGGTGCAACTCGATTTCATGGAACTAACTCTCCACCCTTTGCTTGTCCTCCATCGGCTTGCCGCCCCTTGCAAAAACTGGGAAAAGTTCCCAAACTCAGCCGGGAAATTTCTGCTCCTTTATCTCGCCAGTTTAAAATATGTGATAGAGCATAAAATGGATGAAAATTAAAAATATATTATGTGTTTAGTGTCGAAAATCATTCACCTTTTTTTCTCTGCAATGATTGAGCGTCATAGAAATAGTTTAACTAACTTACCAAGCAAATTTTCATTCTTAGCGATGGAGACATATTAATAAAAAGCCTTACTTAGATTATCTGAAAAAAATAATAATAATAATGTGGACACTACATGATTTCCTTGTACGGCCTATTAAATTATACACTTTTTAGTCCAAAGGGATTTCAGTCCCGAAGGACTATTGTTTTCGTTTTGCGATTTTGCGTCGGACTCATAAACGTCGGTTCACTTTTCAAACTGTGCACAAAATGTTAGAGTCCTGCATTATATTTGACGAAATTAAATAATGAAAAATCTGCATAAATGATTGTCTATTCTCGCATTGTGATAAAACAATGGTTAATAGAGCCATCGATTTTGAATGACGAAATCCTACTGCGAATATGGGCATCTAAATCCCAATTTGGAATTTGTTTTATTATAGATTTTGTATTTTGTAAAACTTTAACGAATTTTTGATTTACAAACAATGCTTTAAAAGCGAGAAATGGCAACGTTATATAGAAAAAAAATACTTTATCTCCAGCTCGCGGACTGTGTATATCGGAAATTCTAAAGATATGCTTAATTTAACATTATTTTGCGATATTGCTCTTAAACTGAATTTTATGGTTTAAGTGCAAAGAACATGATATTTAATAAATAAAGGTAACACTCAAAACGTTAAAAAAACGCCCCTCTGGACGTAATTTAAAATCTGAAACATTTCAGTTTTTTTTTTTTTTTCCTGCACTTCATTAAACTTATTTCCTCGAATTACTGTATTACTGTAACTTAATTAACCGATCCCTCAAGGCAATTTGAAAATGGCATAAAAAACTTAAAGTTTTGAAATTGAATATCCCGATACGGAGTTAAACTTTTTATATTTTTATTTTTTCAAAACGAGAATAAAACTTTTCCAAGAAATAAGTTTAAGAACAGGAAGACAGCGTTAAATTTGAATTTCGAATTTTTTTTTATTATCTATTTCATATTAAATAAAACTTTAATGAATTTTTGATTAACAAACTCAGGAATTTTAAAGTCAACAGTGGTAATACTGTATGGAAAAAAGTATTTTTAATCTCCAGCGCACGAGACTATGTATCGGAAATTTAAAGATATGCTGTTTTTAATATTTTGTGATTTTGAATCGAATTTTCTGTGGCGTAAGCGCCAAGAATGTGGTATTTTATAAATAAAGTAAACACACAAGACATTAATACTAAAAAGACAAAAAAAAGTTAAGAAAACTGAGCATTAGTATGATGAACTGAGTAAAGAATGAAAAACCAGAAAAATGTATGCCAACAGTTAACGCTGCGTCGGAAATTCTAAATGTATACTGCTATGCTGCTTTTAAAATCTTTGTAATTTTGCTGTTGAATTGCATAAGTGCGAAGAAAATGATGCTTAATAATAAAGCTAAAAAGAAAAAAAAAAAAGAGGGGTTAGCAGGAGTGAGTGTAACAGCAGACTGGTAGACTCCAAGCTCAGCGAGAGTGTTAAAAGAAAACGCTATCAAACCCAAACCCTTTTGGGCGACCGTTAAAATCTGAAACCTTTCAGATTTTTTATTTCTAACTTTATTGTTATTCTTACCGTAACATGTGTCTAATCCAGGCACTGATTCATTGATTAAATCAAGTATATACAAGATATGGCGCTTAAACTTGGGAACATTGCTTTCGTCAGCAAAACCAACAGCTATCCAACTATTGAATCAACAAAATCTGATGTGTACACCACATGACTTCCTTGTACGGAATATTAAATTATACACATTTTTTCTTGCATTTCATTTAAACTTATTGGATTGAATTAAATCTACTTCGCCGACAGCGCATAAACCACAATAGAATATGCATTCTTTAAAAATCACTCTAATATTGTTTACCATAGCAGCCTCTGGGCTAGATTCACTTAACAGTATTATATTTCTTCATATTATAACTCATAATGCACAAATTTATATCATTTAAAGAATAGAATTATCTAATCGTGCCACATGTTCATTCAAATACTATAACAAAGCTAGAATTTGTATAAAAGAAATTAAGCAAACAAAACAAATACGAACAGTTTTTCAGCCGATTGAGTATTTCTCATTCAATTAATTCAGTTCCCACTTCACGACACGACAAAAATACATAAAAACTCAAAATATATCTACATTAAAAATACGAAAGTAAACTTAAACCACTTATTTCCTCGAAAAAATTCCAGAAAGGATTAAACATGATTTAATTGGCGATATAATGAGGGCGTTATCTTGATGTTGCGAAGCTAAGTTTCTCTAGATTTGCAAAATCCACTAGTTGTGTTTCAAATGTAAACAAGCAATGGCCGCCATAAAAAAAGGCTTAGCGGCACTTAAACAATTGTTGATAATTCTAAAATATTACATACAGATTTACTAAAGGCAAAAAACCTTAACCGAAGATCAAAACAACATAATTCAATCATTTTTAAAGCAAAAAATGTACAATTTACGCCATATAAGATAAAGAACCGAGACACTGAGCCGGGTAACAGAGTGGATAATATATAATATATTATATACGTTGGTGCGGCCGATCGCAACCAAAATACCGAGGTGCACATCTACATGTTATAGCAGTCCTATATAAAAAATTCAACGCGTTTCGAGGCTACTCGTTTTTGAGTTATGCGAGATCGTACATACGCACGTACGTACAAACGTTCGTACAGACGCCACGAAAAATTCTCTTCAGAATTAATTTTAAAGCAGTTTTATAATTTTTTTTGGAGGAAGCGAGTCTTTTATTCTGTCCTTATGTACAGATATCACACAAAAACATCGTTAAATAGCATTCGATAGCGGTCAAATTGGATATTTTCGTTGAAATATGCTGTATGAAACTTTTCGCGATTACAATACTTCCTTTTTGCTTCGTACAAGGAAGTAAAAATGACGTTGGAATTACTCACAAAACCGATTTAGTTCCTGAAGTGTGTTCAGTGTAATTCGTGAAACAGATTTTAGTAAATATGTGGCTGTCGTGAAATTTTTCTAGCTAATTTTATTATTCATTCAATTTAGCTTTTACTTTCGGCTATTTATTAATATGTCATCATGGCGCCACTTATTTTCAAACTAAGTAATGGCAGATATTAGCCTCGTCTCATAATATTCCATCATGCATACGTTATAAGCACTATATAATTCAATAGCTATTATTTAACTGGCTGATTTGTATTGTGGAAGAGAAGCTGATATAAATCAGCCTAACAGCCGAATAAAAATGTCGACAATTCAAAACAAGCTGTACAGAAATTGAGTATTAAATTTCGGGAAGGAGAGAAGCCTTCGCTTTCGAAACCGATTTGTTTTATCGTTGGACAGAGATGGTTCGTATTTTTCAGTCTTCCGTAATAATCAATTCAATTGAGACCCGTATATTGACTGAAAAATATGTTCCTTTAAAAGAAATTGCCTCCGTTAATCATAGAGTAGTATCAAGTGGGTTGTTCATTTACGGCATTTATAATCTTAACAGATCTTTTTCACTCTTTATAGAACTCGATTTGAGGCAGAAATGTGTCTTGCGTAAAAGATCTCCAGCAGGGCCACTTAATCGAAAACAGCCCGTCTTTTGCTTTATTTATTTCTTCTTTTACGACATATTATTATTTATTTCTTTTACTTCTTTACCACTGGGCTCTCAATGTTCGTCGCGGGAGCCGGATTCCATTATTCGACTGGCAGCGCCCCGCGGCGGAAAAAAAAGACGAACCTCCGCGGGTGGATGAGGAACGTAAACGCCACTGACGATCCCGGGGTCAAGACCTCTCGGCAAGAAAGCGAAAGCTGTGTCGACGGAGGTCATCCTCTCGGCGGGGCGGATCCTGTCAGAAAAATGTCGAGGTCGCATCATACGCGAGCGACACATTGCGAGTGATGAGTGACTTGTTTCGATTTCGGGTCACTGGTCCCGAACGTCCTAGCTGCTGCTGATTCTTTTCCTTCTCTGGTTTCTGCATTTTCATTACCTTAGCATAAGGTGGTTTAAAATTTCTGGCTTTATTTGAAGATGGTAGTGAACACGTGCATGCGTTGACTGGGATATCTTAGAATGCACTAGCGAAATATAGCCCTGCGGTTTTACACAATTTCTGAGTAATCTATTCGTATGAATTGAAATAATTCCTGCATTTAAACTTGCATTCCAGATTAAGATTTGACTTGAAATTACTGTAGATAATTACTGAATTAGATTTTTGTAGCGTAGTTTATGTGAGATGAGATTACTTTGGGGTGCTTGGCGAGATTTGCGCCGGCGAAACGGAAAAGTACCAATTATTATTAACAGCATGAAGTCATTGGCAACTCATGCTTCGGAAGACTGTATTAATGGAATTGTCCCCTTCACTGATCTTCCTCATC